TTATAACCATCTTTTGTTACCTCTGGAGCACCATAGGGTTTGCTGATACCTACTGTTAACCCTTTTGGCCCACCAGTTATTCCTACTGTTGAATCTACTACCGCTGCAACGTCGCGAACAACTTTTTGTAGTTGTTCACCTGATATTACTACATTAGCCATTTTTATCACCTCTCATTATTAATTAAAAAACTTACTTTGTGCTTAAAAAATTATTTGATGATAGCAATTATGTCAGATTCCTTCATAACAATAAGCTTTTCACCATCATGTTCTATTTCTGTGCCAGCCCATTGACGATAAAATACTTTATCACCGACTTTAACAGTAAGGGCTGTACGTTCACCGTTTGCATTACGTGAACCTTCACCAACCACTATAACATCACCTTTTGTTGGTTTTTTTTCTGCACTTGACGGAAGTACAATACCACCTTGTTTTTCTTCACTGACAGGTTTGATTAATACACTATCATCTAATACTCTTAAGTTTACATTTAACATTTGTTTCTCCTCATACAACAAACTAATCTATTAAGTTATATAACACTTATAAATTAGATTTCAAGAGCCAAAACTGAAAAACTAAAGAGAGCCAGGTTAAAAAAAAGACTAGAAATTGTAATAATGTATAAACTCTGCAGGATGTATAGCCATTTCTATGCTTTTTATCTCTTCACACTTTTTTTCTATATATTTGTCAATCTGTTCGTTGGTAAATACTTCTCCTCTAAGTAGAAATTCTCTATCATTACTCAACATTTCTAGTGCTTCACCTAAAGACCTTGAGGTTTGTTTCTCTATTTCATTAAGATTAATTTTATTTTGTATGCCATCAAGACCTGCCATAAGTATAGCAGCAAAGCAGAAATAAGGGTTTGCCGTTGGATCCGGAAAAGATAATTTGGATTGTAAAAAAAGATTTGGTAGGTCAATCAATCTACTATAGCTATTTGTAGTTGGATTGGAATAAGCATTAATTGCTTTCATGTGTTTTATAATTCCACCCATGTAGTACAGATAGTTTTCAGGATTCTTCAATAAGTCCTCGTTGTTTTTTAACAGTGATTGATATAAATACAAGCTGTTTTGTGCTATTGCCTTAGGCATAAAAGTTGCTGTTTTGCCATAAGATTGAGCAACATTACGTATTACATATTTAGATTTTTGCACACTATCAGCACAATTCAAAAGTCTACTGCTATCAACTCTTATTAAGCCTTGAAAAGGTGAAATTTTTTTATGATATAGTGAATTTTCTATACCGCTTTCCTGCATCATTAGCAATATTTCTGACCTTAAATCAGACAATGGATCCATTGCAGAAGTGGAATCAAAACTCCCATGATTATGTTTTTTTACACTCAAGTAATTTTCTACAGGACTCAAACTTACATGCGAATTGTATTGGCTAACTCTGAATTGTACTTCGTCAAAAATAGAAAATCCTATTTCAAACCCACATAGAACTTCATCTGCTATTTTTGTTGATAGAAAATAATCATACGCCTTCTTAGCTACTGACCGTGAGTCATGCATGCATAGTACAACAGCTGTTGGTTGCACACAAAACGGATCAAGAAATATTGTTTGTAAATCTGGCACTAGATCTATTTTGTTTTCATCTAGCCTATCAGCATTATATGTAGTACTATGAACCTTCCCAATTAAGTCTGTGAAGCGGAAATCAACAAACTTTACTGAATTTTGCTCTAAAAATTTTACCAAATCAGACATGTTTAAATAATAATTACATGATATATTTTATATG